TTAACATTGGGATTGGTTACAATCTTAGATCTACGATCAGGGGTAAATCTATTCGGGGTAAGGAATTAATAGTCTGAGCTTCATGCATCTTACCCACCGCATGACGTTGGCGCCTGAAACTGAAAATTGTAATCTACAGTAGGCATAAACTATTACTGTAAAAAAAAATACAGCATGTTAGAATAATTTTTACAGGAGGCTTCCAATTACAATGAACAACAGTATTTGTCAGCATTTTACCTATAATGGAGTGCAATCTACAGAATGTATTCTGTAAAACACATTGAACAACCATTTGTCTCTTTTCTGTTGAAATTAAAGACTGACAATGTAGATAATGATGTACTGCCGTGAAAAATGTGATTTTCTATAGGAAATAAATGAATTGTACAAAGCATCTTGCTCTAATTGAGGCTTTAATTGTTTTGCAAAGCATGTTACCTGAACATGTATGAAAAAGTATAGCCTCTATTTAATAAAACATAAAACCAACAGTCTATTTTTGTTTACAATAAAACCACATTTGTTTAAGCAAGTCAGCCATATCAACTATGCTTTTTTTAAAGGCAGTAAATGAGGCTGAATGAACTGTTTCGCTGCCAGACAAGGCTTCGCTGATAGACAGGTGTAGCAGTGGTAAGGATTCACTCCATGGTGCTGAAAGGAAAGTTCTGCTGTTGGGACAGCTTTATGTAGGCGCTAACAGTTTGTGGGCACCGTTTGTCACTGTTATAGTGCAATTAATGTATTGTTTAGTGATGTGTTGTGTTGTGTTGTGTAGTGGCTTTGCTGGCATGCATCTAAAGAAAAAAGTTGAGTTTGCCCCACCAAGATTTACATGCTAAAATCGCCACTGCTACAGAGCCTCATTATTGCCAGATCTATTAATGGTAAACGCCTACCTCTGGGGAGCCATTGGAATCTTCAAGTTCTTCAGCAAAGTCTGTTGGAGTTTTTCTCAGAGTCTGGTCCGCATGCAGCGTGTTGTCATTGTAAGATGTGAGGAACTTGAAGTCACTTGTGCGCGAACCCGTCGTCAGGTATGCGTCATAATTGTAAGTACTGCGGAGAGTTCCTGCGCCATCCACCTCTGCGTAGTTCGGAGGGAGATACGCGCTGGGGATGGCGACCGCTCCGTCAAACAACAGTCTGGGCTTTTTCCTGCAGCAAAACCTCACGGTCAGGATGACAATAATGAAGGTGAGGAAAAAGGTGGAGACGGACACCAGCGCGATGATCAGATATGAGGTGAGTTTGGAATTGCTCTCATCATAAGAGATATCTTTCAGTTCTGGCACTTCAGCCAAGTTATCAGAAATCACTAAATACATGGTACAGGTGGCAGAGAGAGAGGGCTGTCCGTTATCGTTCACTGACACAATAAGGTTCTGTTTCATGCTGTCAGTTTCAGAAATGTCTCGTTGTGTCCTGATCTCTCCGCTATGAAGACCAATAGTGAAAAGTCCCGAATCAGTAGATTTGACTATATGATAGGACAGCCAGGCGTTCTGGCCGGAGTCCGAGTCCACCGCTATCACCTTGGAAACCAGAGAGCCCCCATGCCCAGCTTTGGGCACCAGCTCGGTCATGAAGGAGTTCCCCTCCGGGGCGGGGTATAGTATCTGAGGAGAGTTGTCATTGACATCCGTTATGAACACACTGACGGTGATGTTGCTGCTAAGCGGAGGAGAACCGTTGTCTCTGGCCACCACGTGGACTTTAAAACTCCTGAACTGCTCATAATCAAATGACCTCACAGCGTAGATCACCCCCGTATCTCCGTTAACGGATAAAAACGAGGACACCGGGACACCGTTCACTTCACCAGGTAAAAGAGAATAAATCACTGTTCCGTTCTGTCTCCAGTCTGGGTCACGTGCAGTAACAGAACACACGGGGGCACCGGGTTTGTTATTTTCAATCACGTGGGCTTGATAGGACTGTTCCTCAAACACAGGTGGGTTGTCGTTGACGTCAGCTACAGATAACTGAATACTTTTAGAGGAGGACAGAGGTGGAGAGCCCTCGTCGGTAGCAGTGATTGTAATGTTGTAATCAGACACTAGTTCCCGGTCCAGTTCGCCCGTGGTCACCAGAGAATAGTAGTTTTTGATGGATGGCACCAGCTTAAAAGGAACGTTTTGCTGAATGGAGCAGCGGACCTGTCGGTTATTCTCAGAGTCTCTATCCTGCACGTTAATGATGCCCACCTCTGTACCAGGTGACGCGTTCTCAGGTATGGGGTTAGTCAGAGATTGTAGATATATCACAGGGGCGTTGTCATTAACATCAGTGATGTCTATTATCAATATAGAGTAGGATGCTAACCCTAAACCATCCTTTGCACTGATCTGTATTTCATATGAAGACTCCTTTTCATAATCTACTGGCCCAACAACTGTAATTTTTCCAGTTTTATGATCAAGAGAAAATACATTGCTATTTTCGTCTGAAACATCATCAAATTCATATGTAACTTCTCCATTCAATCCCTCATCTGCATCCGTAGCACTCACTGTAACCACTACAGTATCTAAAGGAGAGTTTTCAGGCAGACTGGCTTTATAGACGGCCTGGCTAAACACTGGGGTGTTATCGTTAGCATCCAGTACAGTGACGTGTATGACTACAGTACCTGATCTCTGTGGAGTGCCTCCGTCCATCGCTGTCAGTAATAATTTTATTTCATGCTGCCCCTCACGGTCTAGCTCTTTGTCTAAGACTAACTCGCTGTATTTGCGTCCACCACTTTTTGTTTTGACATTCAAAATAAAATGTTCATTTCGTTGTAGTGTATAGCTCTGAACCGTATTCTGTCCTATATCAGCATCATGGGCCTCATCTAGAGAAAAACGAACGCCTTTGACTGCTGATTCACTAATATCCATTTTGATAATATCCTTTCTAAACTGTGGGGAATTATCATTTATATCTTGAACATGAAGAATAATACGGTGAAGCTCCAACGGATCTTCAAGCACAAGTTCCTGTTTTAAAACGCACGAAGCCTTCTTGCCACAAAGCCCCTCTCTGTCAATCCTTTCAGCTATAGTCAAATCTCCCGTACTCAGATCGATGTCACAATACCGTTCGTGGTTCCCTTCGGTAACAATACGGGCCTTACGAGCGGACAGTCTGCTCGCCTCCAGCCCGAGATCCTTAGCTATATTTCCAACAACGGATCCGCGTTTCATCTCCTCCGGAAAATAAATGCTCACTTCTCCATAGGCGGAGTGTAGTGTTACAATAAAGAAAGCAAAGCCGCAGACCAGGCCCGTCACTGAGAATCCTTTGTGCCCCATCCTGAGATTAAAACGTCAAAACACAATATACCCTTGACAATACAATGTAAACAAAAAAGTATTCCACAAACAGATTCAGTTTGATGAAAATAGTATCCTCAAAATGTTCAAGCAATCTGACCGCGTCCAATATTTTCTACAGAATGACACCCGAGCACCCGAGCCTAGTATAACAGCAGTGGGTGGAGAACTAGATTCATATCAAACACAGCTGGTGAACAGCGACACTGTGAGTACTCAACAGAAATGACATTATGTACTTACAGTTTTCTTAATGTTTTACTGACAAGTGTTTATAAATACCCTTAAGTAAGTTTAATTGGTCAATTAACTATTGGAAAACGAAAGAGAAACACAGAAAACGATAGGATATTATACCATAGAAACATAAATTATTAAAATCACCCCCATTCTATTTTAATCAGTTAAGATCAGGTATACTATGAATATAAAATACAACACATCTGCAAAAGAGTCAACAATGCAATGTATCCGATGCTGGTTAGTCAGCCAGAGCAATCTCATAACTGCTATAGAAAAAAACAGAGCATGGCAAGGAATAAGAATATGACGGTCAAACAGCAATCAATAGTAAAGCGTACTGGTTTAAAATAGGATATTAGACATTTCAGCACCATGGACAGCGACACAGCAAGGACTCTCGTTGCTCTTCAGACACTCTCACACCACTTTTCTCAAGACTCTGTTACTAATAAATACGAAGTCCCAACTGACTGGAATCATTTACTTATAGAAATCAGGGAATTAAAATCACTCAGTGAAGTTAAGAAATCACATTTTTCTAATGTTAAGAACAAACTGTTTGTGTTTTTAACTGGTAGAAACGTCACCATGCGAAGATATTTGTAAATATGAATGTATGTATTATCGCCAGCCTACTTAGCGTTAGTTGTATTAGTATTTTTTATTAGTTGTAGGCTTATTAGTAGGTCTACAACAACTTTTTTTATGCTCATAATGTACGTTTTATTATTATTATTATTACTACTATTATTATTATTTCAATGTTATTATTATTATCATTATTATTATTATTATTATTATTATTATTATTATTATTATTATTATTATTATTATTAGACAGTTGTTGCCATATTATTCTTGTTAATAAGTATTGTTTGTTTTTGGGGGGATTTTTTTTATTTGGACATTCTTTAAACCGAGAAGGTGCATCTCAAGAGATTTCATCCTGCAAAATGTCGAACAAATAACTAAATCTCCACACACAGTATTTCTCTTTTCTAACCTCTTTTCAAACAGGCTTTCACTCCTCCAGTGCCAAAAACATAATAGCAATTAATTGTTAGTACGCCCCTAATCACAAAACTGTGAAGAATAGGCTATTGTGTGAAAAACCTACCGATTCTGTCAATCACAAAAAGAGCATACCACATTATAACTCAAGCAAACCACTTATAAAATAGCACCTCGGGATTTCTCAATTCAATTGAGAGGGGATTTAAATAATAATCTAAAACATTTCAAATTACATGGAACTGAAGCATAAATAACTTGCCTTATAGTCAAGCTGGGGTAATGACGAAAAGTGGTTTCTCCAGAAAAAAGTGATTACACAAAGCATATTAGCTGCAATTGTATAATAATATAGACTTAATCCTGTCATATAGGCCTAAAATCAAATCGAATGTATATTTATTATTTGCATTAAAGGCCTACCTCTGGGGACCCGTCGGAGTCGTCAAGTTCTTCAGCAAAGTATGTTGGAGTTTTTGTCAGTGTCTGGTCCGCATGCAGCGTGTTGTCATTGTAAGATGTGAGGAACTTGAAGTCACTTGTGCGCGAACCCGTAGTCAGGTATGCGTCATAATTGTAAGTACTGCGGAGAGTTCCCGCGCCATCCACCTCTGCGTAGTTGGGAGGGAGAAACGCGCTGGGGATGGCGACAGCTCCATCAAACAACAGTCTGGGCTTTCTCCTGCAGCAAAACCTCACGGCTAGGATGACAATAATGAAGGTGAGGAAAAAGGTGGAGACGGACACGAGCGCAATGATCAGATAAAAGGTGAGTTTGGAATTGCTCTCATCATAAGAGATATCTTTCATTTCTGGCACTTCAGCCAAGTTATCAGAAATAACTAAATACATGGTACAGGTGGCAGAGAGAGAGGGCTGTCCGTTGTCTTTCACTGACACAATAAGATACTGTTTCATGCTGTCAGATTCAGAAATATCCCGCTGTGTCCTGATCTCTCCGCTGTGGAGACCAATAGTGAAAAGTCCCAAATCAGTGGATTTGACCATATGATAGGACAGCCAGGCGTTCTGGCCGGAGTCCGCGTCCACTGCTATCACCTTGGAAACCAGAGAGCCCCCATGCGCAGCTTTGGGGACCAGCTCGGTCATGAAGGAGTTCCCCACCGTGGCGGGGTATAGTATCTGAGGAGAGTTGTCATTCACATCCGTTATGAACACACTGACGGTGACGTTGCTGCTGAGAGGAGGAGAACCGTTGTCTCTGGCCACCACCTGGACTTTAAAACTCCTGAACTGCTCATAATCAAACGACTTCACAGCGTGGATCACCCCCGTATCTCCGTTAACGGATAAAAACGAGGACACCGGGACACCGTTCACTTCACCAGGTAAAAGAGAATAAATCACTGTTCCGTTCTGTCTCCAGTCTGGGTCACGTGCAGTAACGGAACACACGGGGGCACCGGGTTTGTTATTTTCAGTCACGTGGGCTTTATAGGACTGTTCCTCAAACACAGGTTGGTTGTCGTTGACGTCAGCTACAGATAACTGAATACTTTTAGAGGAGGACAGAGGTGGAGAGCCCTCGTCGGTGGCAGTGATTGTAATGTTGTAATCAGACACTAGTTCCCGGTCCAGTTCGCCCGTTGTCACCAGAGAATAGTAGTTTTTGATGGATGGCACCAGCTTAAAAGGAACGTTTTGCTGAATGGAGCAGCGGACCTGTCGGTTATTCTCAGAGTCTCTATCCTGGACGTTAATGATGCCCACCTCTGAACCAGGTGACGCGTTCTCAGGTATGGGGTTAGTCAGAGATTTTAGATAAATCACAGGGGCGTTGTCATTAATATCTGTGATGTCTATAATGACTTTGACATATGATGCTAACCCTAAACCATCCTTCGCTTTGATGCGCAGCTCAAACGATGGAACCTCTTCAAAGTCAACAGCACCGATAACTTTAATTATTCCTCCCTTATGGTCTATAGAAAATACTTTCTTATCCTCATCTGAAATATGATCGAAATCATATGTAACTTCTCCATTCACTCCCTCGTCTGCATCTGTGGCACTCACTGTAACCACTACAGTATCTAAAGGAGAGTTTTCAGGCAGACTGGCTTTATATACGGCCTGTCTAAACACTGGGGCATTATCGTTAGCATCCAGTACTGTGACGTGTATGACTACAGTACCTGATCTCTTCGGAGTGCCTCCGTCCATCGCTGTAAGCAATAATTTAATTTCCTGCTTTCTTTCACGATCAAGCTTTTCGTCTAGAACAAGCTCAACATTGTTACTATCAATGGACAACACAAAATTGTCATTCTTTTCTAGAGTGTATATTTGAACTGAGTTCTGCCCGATGTCCGCGTCATGGGCCCCTCCTAATAAAAAACGAGAACCTTTCTCCGCTGATTCGCTTATCTCTAAATCTATCATACCCTCATTAAATTGTGGCGAATTGTCATTAATATCTTGAACATGAAGAGTAATACGGCGCAGCTCCAAAGGATTCTCCAATACAAGTTCCTGTTTTAAAACGCACGTAGCCTTCTTGCCACAAAGCCCCTCTCTGTCCATCCTTTCTGCAGCGGTTAAATCCCCGTTACTCAGATTAATGTCAAAATACCGTTTTCGGTTCCCTTCGGTATCAATACGGGCCTTACGAGCGGACAGTCTGCTCGCCTCCAGCCCGAGATCCTTGGCTATATTTCCAATAACAGATCCGCGTTTCATCTCCTCCGGAAAAGAATAGCTCACGTCTCCATAGGCGGAGTTCAGCGGTAGAAGAAAGAAAACAACGCCGCAGACCAAGCCTGTCACCGAGAATCCTTTGTTTCCCATCCTTAGACTAAAACGTCAAATATCCACCATACAGTTAGACAGATCGATGTAAGGAAATGTTATTCGACAAAACCATGAAAATACCCTATATTATCAACAAAATATATGTTAGTCTACCTCTACTCTTTTCTGCAGTGAAATGGCACCAGAGCTTTGTCAATGACAACACCAGTGGGTGGAGATCTATATCTATTCTACCTCCTCTAGTGAACAGCGACACTGTGAGTACCCTTTAAACATTACACATAGTTTACACATATACGTTGACATTGTGCTAAATACATTTAAATAAAAGTAGTAGGTAAACATTGGAAACATGATGTATGCCCCCAGCATATGGGGATATTCAAATAGGCACATGAAACAACATAAAACCACAAGCACTCATTTCCCTAAAACCATTCACACTCTCGAGTTAAGGTTATGCCAGGTAGAAAAAAAACTACTACATTACAAAATGGTAGCTAGGCCTATAAAGTCTGAAGAGACAAGTAAAATGCACATATCGGAGGTGCAGGGTCGTTCTGTCTCTCATCTGGCACTCATTGGTAAAATGCAGAAATCCAGTGAGTAGAACTGTCAAGGAAATAAGTGATAGGTTAGGCCTACTGTCAATCCCAAAAAATAGACGCTACAGGCTTTACAGAACAAACAGAGCGTTTCAACACCATGGTCAGCGACACTCGGCTACACTTCAGTTCTTTTCTCAACATTGTGCTCTCTACACGTTTTTCGTTTGCCATACCTTCTGAGTGTACATACAATTAACGGTTCCAACTAGAACCAGGCTATAACATGCTCTCTGTAATATTAAAACTGTGCAGTAGGCTATGAGGGAGAAAAAACACTTCGTTTATCAATCCCAAACCAAATGTACCCAAACACAATGCAAAGAACATAATATAATCTGCAATGTCTGCCTTAAAATGAGGAGGGTTGATTTCAAAGCAGAAAATACAACACATCCACCATATTTGAAAATACAAACATGGGACAGATAATGAATGCAATTCTAAATATATAAGACCTGTGGAAATAGTGCTTTCATTATGAATCACAAAAACAGTTTAGAAATTGTGGCCGAAAATCCTTTAACTGCAAGTGTAAAACCTGCTACAGAGCCCCACCTGTTTTGAGCCTCACCTGTTTAGCAAAAAAAAAAAAAATACATGTTTTTTTGTTGTTGTTGTTGCCTGTTTTGCATGCTATTTCTGTATTAATATGTGCCACATTTCAGTTTTCAAACAAAGTAAAACCATTTTATTGAGTTAATAAAGCTGCATATGAACATGGCCTCATTTTTGCTTTCTTGAGTAAGGCAGCTCCAAAATGCAGGTGTTTCAGCCTAGCTCAGTGCTTTCTGTGGTGGATGGGCAGCCAGCGGAGAATACAGAGCGTAGGGGTTGGTAATCTTCTCTAGTTGTGCCGTGACTAGCTCAGTGTTCTGTCACTCATGGGGACACTACATCACCGCAAAATCTACAGGGAGAGCTTGAAAATTCAAGCCCCTTGGGTGCTGCCATAGAGTTACATTAGAAATGCCCATCCAAGAAGGCTCAAGGTCATTGGCCACAGATACAATTACGTCAAATCACATTATATCTACCTTAGCTTTGATTTGACTGATCATGACAACATCATACTTTCAAAATCTTAGCTAGCAAACTTGACAAGCAGTCACCATCATGATTCAAGTCAACAACCTACTGGCAAATCCTTTTCAATCCTTGTCATATGAAGATAAATTATAGATAAAATGTATCGGTGCACATCGGCCATTAGACATAAACATTACACAACAAGTCGGAAATCGTAAATTCAACAATGAGTGGTTTGGAAGGAATCAGTAGCTAACTGCAAGCGCTGCAAAACAATCCCTATCCCTGCCTGCTATTCAGTGGAGAGGGTGTGTGGTCCAAGTCTGGGTTTAAGGGTATCTTTTCCAAGCTTAAAAGGATAAACATTCACACACAACACCATGGGCCAGAAAAGATTGAATACATCGGCCATGCTGTCAAGACAGCATGACTTCTGCCACGTTCAAAACAACTGGAAACTTGGAACTGGGAAATCTCAGACTTCAGTGAGTTCAAGAACTGGGAACTCTGAAAAAAAACGAGCTCCGACTGGGAAAATACGTTTTGAACACTCATCCAACTCAGAATTCCAAGTCGGGAACTCGGGCCTCTTTCTAGAGCTCCGACCTGAAGATCACTGAAGTCATGATTCCACCTTGTTTTTTTCAGAGTTCCCAGTTGTCGTGAATGCACCACAAACCCAGAGAAAGCTAGACTTTGATGACAAAGTTTAATGACAAAATTTGCCCACAAGAAGGACCGCCGTGCCACCTTCCTGTTCAAGTGAGCTCAGCACAACTGTGAGTCCAAAAATGTATTGTATGCTGCTACATAAATGATGTAATATGCCAGAGAGATATATACAGTATACTGTAACTAAGAAAGTAATACTAAGTGTATGTTGTGTAGTAAGCTGTTAGTAGCCCATGTGCCTCACCCTAATAATTTGGTCCCTTTTCCCCTCATAACTTAGCCTACTGTTCTGACTTGGTGGTGCACATGTAGCCCATAGCCTGTTTTAGAGAAATGTCATCATTGAATATTGTAAGAGCTTTTATTGTCTGCTTATATGCCCGGTTTATATATCCCATGGTTCTGACTTGGTGTACAGGGAGAATACTGTAAGAACGGCCGTGTTCTGAAATCTGTCACCGTACATTTCAAAAGTGCTGAACAAATAGTTATATTGACTACATCCGTCTTAGCTCGCTCATTAATGTCTTAATCGAAATTACGGATTGCCTCATATCCGCTTGTCGTCCCCTTATGCCATAATTTGTACGTATCAATTGTCAGTAGAAACCACATTTGTTTAAGCAAGTCAGCCATATCAACTATGCTTTTTTTAAAGGCAGTAAATGAGGCTGAATGAACTGTTTCGCTGCCAGACAAGGCTTCGCTGATAGACAGGTGTAGCAGTGGTAAGGATTCACTCCATGGTGCTGAAAGGAAAGTTCTGCTGTTGGGACAGCTTTATGTAGGCGCTAACAGTTTGTGGGCACCGTTTGTCACTGTTATAGTGCCATTAATGTATTGTTTAGTGATGTGTTGTGTTGTGTTGTGTAGTGGCTTTGCTGGCATGCATCTAAAGAAAAAAGTTGAGTTTGCCCCACCAAGATTTACATGCTAAAATCGCCACTGCTACAGAGCCTCATTATTGCCAAATCTATTAATGGTAAACGCCTACCTCTGGGGACCCATCGGAATCTTCAAGTTCTTCAGCAAAGTCTGTAGGAGTTTTTCTCAGAGTCTGGTCCGCATGCAGCGTGTTGTCATTGTAAGATGTGAGGAACTTGAAGTCACTTGTGCGCGAACCCGTAGTCAGGTATGCGTCATAATTGTAAGTACTGCGGAGAGTTCCCGCGCCATCCACCTCTGCGTAGTTGGGAGGGAGAAACGCGCTGGGGATGGCGACCGCTCCATCAAACAACAGTCTGGGCTTTCTCCTGCAGCAAAACCTCACGGCCAGGATGACAATAATGAAGGTGAGGAAAAAGGTGGAGACGGACACCAGCGCGATGATCAGATAAGAGGTGAGTTTGGAATTGCTCTCATCATAAGAGATATCTTTCAGTTCTGGCACTTCAGCCAAGTTATCAGAAATCACTAAATACATGGTACAGGTGGCAGAGAGAGAGGGCTGTCCGTTATCTTTCACTGACACAATAAGGTTCTGTTTCATGCTGTCAGATTCAGAAATGTCCCGCTGTGTCCTGATCTCTCCGCTGTGGAGACCAATAGTGAAAAGCCCCGTATCAGTGGATTTGACTATATGATAAGACAGCCAGGCGTTCTGGCCGGAGTCCGCGTCCACCGCTATCACCTTGGAAACCAGAGAGCCACGGTGCGCAGCTTTGGGGACCAGCTCGGTTATGAAGGAGTTCCCCTCCAGGGCGGGGTATAGTATCTGAGGAGCGTTGTCATTCACATCCGTTATGAACACACTGACGGTGATGTTGCTGCTGAGTGGAGGAGAACCGTTGTCTCTGGCCACCACGTGGACTTTAAAACTCCTGAACTGCTCATAATCAAACGACCTCACAGCGTGGATCACCCCCGTGTCTCCGTTAACGGATAAAAACGAAGACACCGGAACACCGTTCACCTCACCGGGTAAGAGAGAATAAATCACTGTTCCGTTCTGTCTCCAGTCTGGGTCTCGTGCAGTAACGGAACACACGGGGGCACCGGGTTTGTTATTTTCAGTCACGTGGGCTTTATAGGACTGTTCCTCAAACACAGGTGGGTTGTCGTTGACGTCAGCTACAGATAACTGAACACTTTTAGAGGAGGACAGAGGTGGAGAGCCCTCGTCGGTGGCAGTGATTGTAATGTTGTAATCACAAACTAGTTCCCGGTCCAGTTCGCCCGTTGTCACCAGAGAATAGTAGTTTTTGATGGATGGCACCAGCTTAAAAGGAACGTTTTGCTGAATGGAGCAGCGCACCTGTCGGTTATTCTCAGAATCTCTATCCTGCACGTTAATGATGCCCACCTCTGTACCAGGTGACGCGTTCTCAGGTATGGGGCTAGTCAGAGATTTTAGATATATCACAGGAGTGTTGTCATTAATATCTGTGATTTCTATTATCAATGTAGAGGAAGATGCTAATCCTAAACCATCCTTGGCGGTTATCTGCATTTCATATGATGACTCATGTTCATAATCCAGAGACCCAATAACTCTTAGTTCTCCCTTTTTATGATCCAGAGAAAATACAACGTTATTTTCATCTGAAACATGGTCAAAATCATACATAACCTCGCCATTGGGTCCCTCGTCTAAATCACTGGCGCTCACTGTAATTACAAGAGTATCTAAAGGAGAGTTTTCAGGCAGACTGGCTTTATACACGGCCTGGCTAAACACTGGGGCATTATCGTTAGCATCCAGTACAGTGACGTGTATGACTACAGTACCTGATCTCTGCGGAGTGCCTCCATCCACAGCTGTGAGTAATAATTTCAATTCCTGCTGTTTTTCACGGTCTAGCTCTTTGTCTAAGACTAATTCGGCATATTTCCGTCCACCACTTTTTGTATTAACATTCAAAATGAAATGGTCATTCCTTTCAAGTGTATAGCTTTGAACATTGTTCCGTCCTATATCCGCATCACGAGCCTCATCTAGCAAAAAGCGAGCTCCTTTGACGGACGATTCAGCTATTTCAATTTTAATCACCTCTTCCTTAAATTGCGGTGCGTTATCATTTATATCTTGAACATGAAGACTAATACGTTGCAGCTCCAAAGGATTTTCCAATACAAGTTCCTGTTTTAAAACGCAGGAAGCCTTCTTGCCACAAAGCCCATCTCTGTCAATTATCTCCGCAACAATCAAATCCCCGGTACTCAGATTAATGTCACAACACCGGTTTTGGTTCCCTTCGGTATCAATACGGGCCTTACGAGCGGACAGTCTCCTCGACTCCAGCCCGAGATCCTTGGCTATATTTCCAATCACAGATCCTCGTTTCATCTCCTCCGGAAAAGAATAGCTCACGTCTCCATAGGCGGAGTGCAGCGTGAGAAGAAAGAAAGCAAAGCAGAAGACCAGGCCTGCCATTGAGAATCCTTTGTTCTGCATCCTTAGAATGCGGTTTAGGAATCCCCTTGTATTTAGATCGATCGAAGTATAACGATTCCACAGGCTGAGATATGGTTTGATTAAAATTACAACAAAATTTTAACCAAGAGAATGCGCAATCTGACAATTTCCACGGTTTTCTGCATTAGTGGCAAACCCTGAGCTGTAAATACGACAGCAGTGGGAGGAGAGGTATACAGTATATTCAACATCAGCTAGTGAACAGCGACACTTAGAGCAACCTTCAGAAATTACGCATACTTACTTACATTGCACTGTTAAATATGTTTGATATAGGAAACATTTACTTATACATACTCATAGTAGTCTATCCTATAGGCCTCTATGTTGAGGAAACGAAGCCATTGTAAAAGTATGGAGCAATCAATAGCCTTAGTTCAGAGCCAGTATGTTTCAGCACCATGGACAGCAACCACTAGGGTAGACATACACTCTCAAGCGTATCATCTCTCGAGTCTCTCTATACAAATAGCGTCACGAGTTGGAAACTAAAAAACAACTTACGAAGCTGCTACTCTTACAGTTAAGGCTCCTTTACTTTATGAAGCGACAGAGATGGTTGGGTAGCAAAAAAACAAACAAAAAAAACACCTGAATCACAGCCTTCTAAGAGCATGCATATCAACCAAACGACCCGAAAGGCCAAAACCTGACAATCCTCGTCTCAATTTAGTGTGGCTGCTATACAGATACCCATACACGTGTGTAATACACATGTCGTTAACAAGTGCTGCGATCCCATTGTATAAGCCTACTGTAGTTAGTATGCTGAAGGGATAGAGAGCTAGGGAGGGAGGGAGGGAGGGAAAGAGCAGCGCGTGCCTGGTGCTACACAGCGGCATACAGAGAGTCATTTTAGAACTGCACACAGGGATGCAATAAAGTCACCCGCAAAGTCGACTGATTAGCCTTAGTATTTAAATGAAAGTGATTTCTTCCGGTGATATTAAACAACATAGTTAGCCTACATTTTAGGGTTTGCGAGGCCGAGACAGTATTCTTCAAAAGAGATGTAGGCTAATATTTACTTTCTGTAAGGCTACGTTTCAGACACACAAAGCTTCAGCATTGCAACCCTATTATTTAACATCCCAACGTGCTGCGCATACATTGTAGCATATCCATTACCTTTCAATCCTCCAGCAAAAGTTCTACATGAATCTATGACTCCATAACACCTTACATTTTCTCTGTGGGTTCCATGACAACCTTCATCCTCCCTGAAACTGATCCCGTGGTCGTGGGAAACAACCTGCAATGATAAAAAGCTCGTTAAATATAATTGCTTAAATATTGCTGTTTGCTTGCAAATCATGGAATGTAACCATAACTGCACATTTAGCTTTCATATGCTTATTTTTCAAATCAAATCAAATTGTATTGGTCGCGGGGGTAGCAAAATGATTATGTTCCTAGCTCCAACAGTGCAATAATACCTAAAAATACAAAACAATACACACATGCCCCCAAAATATAAGAATAAAGGCCTGGGCATGCGCTGGCTTGCTAAACTTGCATATGGCTCCATCAGACTATATTGTCGTGTAAACATGCATTTTTGGGCAAGGATGATGATACTGTGTTGTAAATGCACTGCCTGTTATCGGCTGTGAACGAAAGCATGTGTAACAACGCAGGTCCCTCTGCTTGACTGTAACAGCTTTGTCTGTGTGTGTTGTGTTTCTCCAGCAGATAGCGCCTTTCACTCACAGCGCGCCAGCCCAAGCTACTCAGCAAGACTCAATGTGGGCGAAACAGACGAGAGCTATTAACAATGTCTTCACACCAATTGTGCTCTACAACAGCTCTGCAACATGTCACGTTGTTGGTCTAAAGCATGTATAAATTGCATACATAATTTCAGACGCGTGTTTTCAACCTGTAAGTTGTTTGTTTGTGTGTGATGATAAAGTATTCATTCCGGGAGATAGAAGCTTGTGCTGCATCGGCTGCCGGTTGCATCATCGGGCGTGTAATATTATTTTTCTCTGATATATTGGCGTTCGTACAAATCTAATGTGCATGCCGCCACCTACTTAACCTTAGAAATATTCCAAAATACTGACGATGGATCAGCACGCTAACCGTCTTTGATATGACTTAAACAACACTACAATCTACGCTGCCATGTTCTGCAAGGTCAATGCACCTCAAAACCAAGGCGTGTAGTCTGGGCATTTCCCTCAGTACAAGGCAAGGAAGCGCTTTTTGGTAAGAGGCAGATTGACATCTATAGTCAAATTATTTAGGTCCATGAAGAAACACTGAGAATGCATTTTGTGTTTTCTATAGAGTAGACTATGTTATGCATATGAGCGAGAGAGAGAACAGAGAACCGAGAACATAGAACAGAGACTCAGATTAAACGTGGTTAACTCTGCAGTCTCTGGGCTCCTCATTAGACCAGTCTCTCTGGCCACTGCGGCCAAGATAGCATCAGCAACCATTTTGTTTGGTCTAATCAGCTCTTTTAAGACCTCCCCTGTGCCCTGTTCACAGTGCCCTGGCTCTTATGACCATCCAGCTACAGCCATGCCCCTGGCACATAGCCTGGAGCAGGACAGAAGACACACACACACCTCACAGGCGTATACAGTGCCTTGCAAAACTATTAATCCCCCTTGGCGTTTTTACAATTTTGTTGCATTACAACCTGTAATTTAAATGGATTTGTATTTGGATTTCATATAATGGACATACACAAAATAGTCCAAATTGGTGAAGTGAAATTGAAAAAATAACTTGTTTCAAAAAATTATACAAAATAAATAACGGCAAAGTGGTGCGTGCATATGTACTGTACCTTCAGAAGTCACATAATTAGTTAAATAAAGTCCACCTGTGTGCAATCTAAGTGTCACATGATCTGTCACATGATCTCAGTATATATATACCTGTTCTGAAAGGCCCCAGAGTCTGCAACACCACTAAGCAAGGGGCACCACCAAGCAAGCGGCACCATGAAGACCAAGGAGCTCTCCAAACAGGTCAAGGACAAAGTTGTGGAGAAGTACAGATCAGGGTTGGGTTATAAAAAAAAATCCAAAACTTTGAACATCCCACAGAGCACCATTAAATCCATTATTAAAAAATTGATAGAATATGGCACCACAACAAACGTGCCAAGAGAGGGCTGCCCCACCAAAACTCACAGACCAGGCAAGGAGGGCATTAATCAGAGAGGCAACAAAGAGACCAAAGATAACCCTGAAGGAGCTGCAAAGCTCCACAGCGAAGATTGGAGTATCTGTCCATAGGACCACTTTAAGCCATACACTCCACAGAGCTTGGCTTTACGGAAGAGTGGCCAGAAAAAAAGCCATTGCTTGAATAAAAAAATAAGCAAACACGTTTGGTGTTTGCCAAAAGGCATGTGGGAGACTCCCCAAACATATGGAAGAAGGTACTCTGGTCAGATGAGACTAAAATTGAGCTTTTTGGCCATCAAGGAAAACGCTATGTCTGGCGCAAACCCAACACCTCTCATCACCCCGAGAACACCATCCCCACAGTGAAGCATGGTGGTGACAGCATCATGCTGTAGGGAAGTTTTTCATCGGCAGGGACTGGGAAACTGGTCAGAATTGAAGGAATGATGGATGGTGCTAAATACAGGGAAATTCTTGAGGGAAACCTGTTTCAGTCTTCCAGAAATTTGAGACTGGGATGGAGTTTCACCTTCCAGCAGGACAATGACCCTAAGCATACTGCTAAAGCAACACTTGAGCGGTTTAAGGGGACACATTTAAATTTCTTGGAATGGCCTAGTCAAAGCCCAGACCTCAATCCAATTGAGAATCTGTGGTATGACTTAAAGATTGCTATACACCAGCGGAACCCATCCAACTTGAAGGAGCTGGAGCAGTTTTGCAAAAATCCCAGTGGCTAGATATGCCAAGCTTATAGAGACATACCCTAAGAGACTTGCAGCTGTAATTGCTGCAAAAGGTGTCTCTACAAAGTATTGACTTTGGGGGGGGGGGGTGAATAGTTATGCACGCTCAATTTTTCAGTGTTTTTGTCTTATTTCTTGTTTGTTTCACACAATGAAATATTTTGCATCTTCAAAGGGGTAGGCATGTTGTGTAAATGAAATGATACAACCCCCCCAAAAATCCATTCTAATTCCAAGTTGTAAGGCAACAAAATAGGAAAAATGCCATTGGGGGTGAATACTTTCGCAAGCCACTGTACACACAAAAACATACACTCACCTCACCTCTCGCTCTCTCTTTCTCCTTTTCTCACAAACACACACACACACACAGACACACACACACACACACACACACACACACACACACACACACACTAGCAAAACACACCCCACACCACAAAATGGAATTATTAACATATCATACATTTAGCAAATTCGTAACATATTGTACGAATTGTCATTTGGAAAATATCATACAAAATGGATGATGGACATCCACAAAGTAATACATACCATACGAAAGGTAACATATCATACTAATTGCAGTGTCCCGGATTTACATTTACTGTGTTACGTCTACCCCTGAGTCAAGGTTGCAACACTTCATAGAAAAATCAATATCTTTATTAAATCAATACTATGCATTGCATCCTTCATCACAGCTGCACAAACACACACTCACTCTCTTTGGATTGTGGTAATGTTCTTGTCTGCAAGTCACTTTGTGATACTGGAGTGTCCGTCAGTCACTCACTGACTCTGTCCTTGCCCACACCCTCTCCGTCTCCCCAGACCCAACGTCAGTCACTTAACTTTCTGCCTGTCTCGCCCTCCTATCTTCACCTCTTTCATTATCTCTCTCAGACTCTCTTAGACACTCTGTATTTCCCTCGGGCGAGGTTTGGTGCTGCTGTTGCTGCAGAGTGGATTTATTACACACATTAGTCTCCCCGTCTGCGTGGCTGTGGTCGTGTCTCTGACCTGCGCTGTTCGCTTCTCTCAGCAGGATGTTGTTCTTGCTGAGTCACTGCGGCTGGAGAGC